TTCAGTGCATCACTGAACCACATTTAGGGGCTGGGTTTTTTTTTCTAATTTAAGAATTAGAAAATGCATCTGGAATCATCAACTTGCTCTTATTTGGTTTGTTGCTGAACATCAGCCACAGCATGGTTTGCTCCCCATGATTCAAAATTTAAATGAGAAAAATATAGARGCATGAGAAGCTTCTGGGGAAGGGAACCATTAATGAAAGGGAAATGTTCTCCCATGCCTTCACAGAAGGGAGATGGGAGAAGATGGAGCATTATCTGGGCTCAGGGCACAYCAGCTTGGCTACCAGGTTACAGGGAGGCAATTTTTCAGGCTGCAGTTCAAATCTCTTCCATTTCCTTTGCCAAGACCCAGCAGGCAAAAGGGTCAGAAGCTGCTGTGGAAAAAAATATCTGAGGAACACTTAAAAAAAGAGAATTCAAAAGCTAAGAATATCTTAGGTGGAAGGAGCAGGAGCACTGAGCTTTGAGCATTGCCATCTCTACAGAGGACCTTGACACTCATCAAGAGACACCCTGTAGCAGGGAGGCAGTGGGAAGTGGGAGCCTGCATCCTCCCACAGGATGTGTGGCCGCCCTCGAAACAGCCTGCACAAACATCTCATAACAGGAGAGGAGCTCACTGATACTCCCTGGCAAAGAGCAGAGGTTCAAGGCACAAGCTGAAGGCTAAGTTGACACATACACTGTCACTAAGCAAAACCACTAGCTTCAGTGGGCACCCCAGGCCCTGACTGTCATTAGGAGCTGGCTACAGTCAGGAACRGGGCAATGACTATTTTCACTTGTCTTGCAGTAATCTTTGCATATATTTTTCCTTCAGGCCATGTGCTCAGGGACCCGGGTAGCCTAGATAATAGTGGCACTTACTGCAGAGATGCAGGCTGTGGAAGACCTGCTGTGCAGAGCTCAGCTCCAGTTGTTAGAATTAGGGAGCTGCTTTTCTGCTGATGAGGAACCACAGCTCTGCTTTTGCTCCAGTGCCCAGGAACCTGGTGGGTCGGACCTTGTCCAAGTGACCATGCTGCAGAGCTCCAGCCCCTTTCCCTTCCATGGGGTACGGCTGGCACTGCCTGCATGCGGCAAAGATGAGTCCTTTCCCAAGGCCGTTGTGTGGCCAGCATCTCTGGGCATCTTCCCCTTCTTATTTTATGAGGCCAATAAAAGGGAATTCAGTCCACTCTTCTGAGTGGAAGGCAGAGGCTGCTTGCAGCCACTGCTTGACCCCTTTCTGCCTGTGCCAAGGCTTATACATATGGGCAGTTAATGTGCTGCTTCCCTCTCTTTGCAACACGCTAAGTTTAGCTGTGGTACAGACAGGCAGGTTAACCCAATGTGACTGAATCACGCACCGAAGCACATTCAGAGTAGCTTGAGTGCGGTCTGGGTTCTTTGTGCGTGTGTCATCATGTCACCCTCCTGAAGTGTGTAATCCCTCGCCTTCACAGGGTTCCCTGCATCGCTCAGGGCCTGCGGAAGGGCTGAACAGGATCATGTAGCCAAGAGGCTGCTTGAAAGCACGGGGGCTTAACCTGCCTGTGAGCTCAGCACTGAAAGCTGCAGCTGCACTTGGTGAAGCCTTTGAACATGCAAAGTGCTGTAGGATGCTACTGATAATTGTTTCTAATTGGGTAACAGACCTACCAGCTACTTCTATCTCTCTGTGCCCTCGCTCCCCAGCTGAAGAGTAAGGAGGACACCTGCCCCCTCACTTCACAGGGTTATTTAGAGTGATATTTAACTTTAAAATCTATGAGGCATTCAGGCGCCAAGGACCACAGAAATGCCCAGGAGGTAACTAGTTATTCTGGTGTTTGAGGCGAGTTTAAACAAACAGGGTCAGGTGTTCAGCAGTAAACTTTGCATAGCTGCAGCCACTGAGCACAGGATGCTCTGGGCAGAAGAAGAGGTGTTTGGGTCCCATGTAGCACTTGGGACTTGAGCACTTGTCCCTCTTCATTTTCCTGTGCTGCTTTCTTCTGTCTTGCTGGTCCTTTCCCTACTTTGTGCTCTTGAGATCATGGGAGTTGAGATCTTTGCTCTCCCCGCTGGAAAAAGCTCCATCAAGCACAGCAGGCTTGGGGAGTGGCCTGCATGTAACACCTCAAGAAACAGTGCACTAAGTTAGGGGACATTTTTCGAGTCCTGAGGCTGCCACAGGAGGGTCTGCAAAAAAAGTCATTGGATGGAAGTCTATTGCCAAGTTCAGGTGTTTTCTGCACTTGAATAGAAGAAAGTTAACAGAAATGGAAAATTGGAAAAGGTTGAAGATTGCTTTGAAAACTTGCTATTTAAAACCTCATGTCTATATTGATCATGTGAGAAATCGATACTTTTTAAATGCTTGAAACATAGCAAAATCTGATGTACAGATTAAGCAGTGCTGCTTTATCTTCTGCTTGGAAACATTTGGACTTTCTCCCACTCTCCTACATAAAAGCTGTTTCAGCTAGGGCATGCAAAAATATTTTTATCAGACTAATYTGCTTGGGCTGAACTTAAAAGCAAGGGAAGAGACTGTCCTTTGTTATGGGAAGTGCTGGAATCCTCCCTTGTTATGGGAAGACTACCCTAGCAGGCAGTGCTACTGGTTTCACCTCTGTTATTTAGTCTTTCCATACTAGCCCGGAAAGCTGCATCTGCTGATGTGTGGGAACGCTCTGCCTGTGCCGTTCTTGTAGCTGCCAAGGCCAGACTCTGCTGACTTTGGTCACAGAGCATCGTTCCCCTTAAGCCTTAACCGGGCTAAATGTTTGGCTTTAGCTACTATGGTATAGCTAAAGCAGTCTGCATTTTCTGGGGCGAAAGCTACTAGCGCTACAATAATAAAAGGGCACTTCTGACCAGGATAAGCTTCTCTGTATTAAGGCTGAAAACAGATATTTATCTTGCCTATTTATCCTCCTACCTGAAGATGTTCTCATTCCAGTTTTTATTCTGACTCTGTGCCAGGGATTGATGCCAGTACAGGGGCCTTTACAGTAGGAAGAGGTTGTATACAGGCTTCCTAGCCTGCTCCTGCAAAATGCATCGGCATTGTCAGTGCAGGCCAGAATTAAATCAGCTGCTCCAACCAGTCACGGACTGGGGCATTGCTGGCCTGTKCTGTTCTGCTATCAGAGTATGGGGGGCAGGTAACGTCTGGAAGTGATGTGGCTGTGGGCAGCTGGGCACAGGAGAGTCTTGAAGGGTACAAGAAGATCCAGAGGAAGTTGGCTCCTTACAGCCTTATGCATTTAGGAAGTAGTACAGTAACAGACAAACGTGTCATCTGCAGGGACAGCAGCCCAGCAGGACAGGGTAGCAATGTTGCTCCCCAAGATGAGGCACCTGGCACCTGGCCATGTTATTTTTAACACTGGAATGCAGACGTAGTCTGCAAGAAAAGGAACTCACCAGCATTTCCTGCCCAGCCCTGCAAACTGATAAAGCTCTYTGCAATACAGGGTCACCCCAGTTTTATTTTTAAACCATGGCCAGACATGGAGCTCAGAAAATAAGTGGAACACCTATCTTTGAGCATTAATTCAACTTGGTTTTGTTACTTGATGCTTAAARAGTTCACTTCAGTATAGCAAGTGTGATAAAGACAGGCAAAGACCTCCAGAGCAAGGCTGATGTAAGTGCATCAGCATGTATGTTGTTAGTAAATGTTACACAGGGAGGGGCACTTACCATTATCCTGAGCATCATGTGAACTTTCTTGCTACTTGGACAATACATCTCAATCCGGTTCCCTTCCCTTGCTGTTCCAGTCCCAGCCCTCTCTCAAGCAATGATAATTGCCTGCCAAAGGACACCGTTTCCATATGCACTAAGTGTGCCCAACAAGAAGTCTAGGTTCCTGCAATCAAAAGGCGGCAGCTTATAATGCACTATGATAACAAGGCCCATTGAATGCATATATCTTTGCCTGTTCTCTTAAGACACAAATGAGATTGCCAGAGATGTTGTCATTCTTGGATGCTGGGACAGCAAGATTTCTGTGGCACTTAAGCAAATCTGCATTTCTCTAATCTTTGTAATCTCCCAGGGCTAGAACTGAGGGGAGATGTTGTGAACTTGTCACTTCTCAGCACTAAGTAACATCCCCAGGAAACTGGGAGTTAAGTTCTTTCATAGTAAAGCCCCAAGACATGGAAGACTTTATTAAGTGTGAAGTCCAAATACCAGAGCCAGTAACTATGCAGAGCCGTACTAAACACCATGGGCTCCTCAGGCATGGCAAGAGGCAGTGAAAGGGGTAACATATGGGATGTGTGGGCAGTTGAGCAAAGTGACAGCAGGACCCTGCATACATTTCACAGCAAGGTTGAGGCCACCTCAGATAGGAGCAAGCTGGCTCAGTGTACAGCTGCGAAGGGGGTGCGAGGAGGAGAGTGCTTAGATCAAAGCAGTGGTGTTTACTAATGTCTTCTGCAGATAAATAGCCAAGTAAGCACCAAAAATAAACAGCCTGGTGCTTTTAAAACCATTAGGTTAAAAGCAACCCTTCCCAGTTTAGCAGTGTCTCTGGCTCTGTGCTTTTTCCAGGGTCCACAGTCATGAGGCATCATAGGGGCAGGGAAGGATGTGCCACAGCGTGATCCTGACGCTGCTGAAGTGCCGCAGGAGCTTTGCCTGTACAGTGTGCTGGGAAGTGCAGAGCCATGCGGGCTTGTTCCCACCTAGGTGCCCATAACCAGCCCTGGCAGTGAAGATTGCCCTGATCTGAGATAGCTCTGTGGGCCCCTCACAGGCTGCACACAGGTAATGAAGACAGCCCAGCTCATGCCCTTGCCACATTGCTTTACTGCCACTCTGCTCTCATGTTGAGGGAAAGCAGGGGTGCTCATCAGCTCTGGTTTTCTAGATCTGGGGTATAAGCTTTTTCCCTTGTTTTCCAGGGTTAGAAAGGTTACTGAAGTTTTCATTTAAGTAAGAAGTTTTTTCATTTTTCTTCTTGATGGAATATRGTCAAGGTCATGGGTCATTTTCCTTTTCTTTCTCCTTCAGGGAAGGAACTGCCATGCCTGTGGGAATCTTCCGGGTGTGCCTAGTGGTGATTACTGCTATCATCAACCACCCGCTCCTCTTCCCTAAAGAGAATGGCACCATCCTTGAGAACACGGAAGAAATCATCCAGAAGATGAAGGAGCGAGAGGAGATCCTTCGACTGGAGCAGCTGCGCTTGGAGCAGGAAATCGCAGGACAGGAAGCCAGGCAAAAGTCTCTGGAAAAGGCTGCAAAGGTAGTGGAGGAAAGCAAAGAGGAAAAGGTCTCATGGGATATGTGGACTGCTATTTCCTTGGTCATATTCCTGCTGATYGAGCTCTGGAGGCAGGATTTCCAAGAAGGGAATTGGCAGGACACAGGAGGTGAAGAGGATGACATGGCTGTGCTGGGGAAAGCATTTAAAGGAGTGGTCCTCCCCAACAAGGCCATCTTGGCCAGCTTTTATGAGAAGCGCATCCTGGGGACCACCGGAGACATGGCCAGGATGCGGGAGATGGTGGAGGGTTTTGCAGATGACTTACTGGAGGCCTTGAGGAGTGTTTGTAACCGGGATGCTGACATGGAAGTGGAGGACTGCATGGGAGTGGGGAGCATGTATGAGAACTGGAGAGTGCGCAAACCTTTCGTCTGCGATCTCATAGTGCCTTTTGCCCCTCCCGAGCCCTACTGTTTCCGCTCCCAGACCTGGTGCTCTGGTGATTCTTTTCCCCCAGATGAACAAGGTTATGGCACTATCAAGGTCTGCAGGGCACATGAAGATGCGGCAGGCTGCATCTGTGACAAGACTAAACTGGGGGAAGATATGTTGTGCCTCCTGCACAGCCAAGCCATTGCCACCAGGCCCAGCAGTGAGATGGAAGACCTGCTGTGCTTCAAAAATACTCAGTATTTGGATGCAGACCAAGTCATGAAGTGGTTCCAGATTGCAGTCACCAAGGCCTGGAACAGAATCTCCCACAAGTATGAATTTGACCTTTCCTTCAGCCTCTTAGACTCCCCTGGGGCCCTAAAGATAAAATTCAAGTCAGGGAAATCGATTGCCTTCAACCTCACCCCTGTGGTGCAGTACGAGAATTCAGATGTTTACTTCATCTCTCATTTCCCTCGGAGCGGCCTGGCAGCAGACCAGCCCTCCAGTACCCACTGGTTTCTCACCTTCGCAGTATACGAGAGGAGATTCATCCAGTTGGTCTCCAAAATGCTGCCTGCCAACGCCTGCCATGTCAGCTGCCTTCAGATCCTCTCCTTCCTCCACGGGAAGCAGTGCAGCCTCACAGGTCCAAGTGGACTCAGCAACTACCACTTGAAGACAGTGCTGCTGCATCTGCTGCAGGCACGTCCCTGTCAGGACTGGGCTCCGGAGAAGTTGGAGGCCCGTCTGCAGGACATGCTTAAATTCCTGGAGAAATGCTTGCATGAAAAGAAACTCTACCACTTCTTCATTGGCAATGGGAAGGTACCAGCAGAGCTGGGTTTCCCCATCATATTCCAGAGGGCTGAGCCTCTCAACCTCTTCCGTCCCTTTGTGTTACATAGGGATGTTTACAGGAAAACCGTGGACACATTCCATGAGATGCTCAGGAACACATCTGCACTGATAAATGAGTACACGGTGCACATTCCCCATGCGCAAACAAATGGGATCCATAAAGAATCCCTTTAACCAAAGCCAGCAGGAAAACACTTGTTTCTCTAACTGCAAGTTGATAGGGCAGCTCTCAAAGCCTCCTAGRAGGCGGCTGACTTTGCCAGTAGAGCTTGTCTGCAGCTGAAGCTGTCCAGGGCTGTGGTTCCTACAGTATGGGAAAGGGGATACGAAGAAACTGGAGATGTGATGTAAAAATGAGTCTCTGCTCCACTGGTGTGCTGGCTGGGTTTTATGCAGCTAAGAATATATTTTTCTATTTTGCATCAGTCATAACACAGTGGTAATGAGCAACCAGTTATGTCTAATTTATTCAGATGTCTGCAATACAAATAGTGGTGGTGGTGGCCAAAAACTTCTTTCCTTTGGAAGGGGGAGATAAGAAAAGGTGGATGAATCAAATAAAAGATTTGAGGACTGCAGGAGCCTTCTGGAGAACAGTTGGAGCTCCACAACCGTCTGTGAAAAAGCACAACATGAAGCTCAGTGCTAGTGTCCAAGGCCCCATGTGCAGATGTCAATTGGAGATCTTTAAATCAACTACAGTTACTCAATCACAAGGGAACTGCAGTTGTAGAAAAGCCTGCTTGATAGGACTTGCAGCAGTGGTCTTGAAAGCTTGTCCTGTCCTCTCAAACACCCATCTCCTGCACATTTCTTCTCCATGGGGGGAATGTAGCAGAGCAGACAGACTGTTTCTTCAGACCATTTCATCTGAGTCTTTCATTTCCTTCACAGTATTATGGCTCATGGGATTTGCTCTTGGCTATTTTCCATAGCCATCTTAGGTAGAGTGAAACGCTATGGTTGGCTTTTTGGTTTTACTTCTTTGCTTTCCTTATCCCTGGGTAGCAAYTAGCAAATACAGAAATGACAGCTACAGAGTTTTGCTTTACTTTAACAAAAGAAGAAACTTTCCAAAATTGTCCTGTAAGGAGCCCAACGACAGCAGTTTGATAGCAAGAGGAAAGAATCACCCTCTGAATGAGCATATGACTCTCCCAGTATGATTTTAATGAGGTCAAAGCGAGCAGGCTGGCTCTAATTTGGGAGGAGGGGAGGAAAGAGGTACATGCATAGCACAGCTTAGAACACTGTCTCTGCAGCTGCCTTCTGGTCTGTCTGCCATGCCATCTGCTCCCAGGTACCCCGGCAAAAGCTGCCTGTCTGCCTCCATGAAGGATTTTCTCCATCTCCATCCTTCTTAACACTGCGGCTCCAGGGAGTTTTGCTGTCAGGAGTTGCAGCTAGTGGACTGTAATTTGTTGAGGTCAGAGTACAGTAGGGGAATGACAGTTTCTGCAGGCTTTCAAGACAGGAGACTCTCAGGGTATATGTTAAAGCAATGCAAAGTGAGGTGGCCGTGTTGGAGGTGAGGGCTCAGCGTGCCTTCTCCTCTGTGTGCTTCGTGCAAGCATCAAATCAGCTTGTCTGTGCAGATCTGCCCTGGGAAGGCTCCCAGGCATGGCCTCTGTGCTAAGGGGTCTTGCCTACAATGTTCTTAACCTAGTCTTTCCTGCATTGTTCCTGCACTAGGCTTCTCTGAATCCTGATACAGGCCATATGAGCACCTCCCTGAGGATGGCTCTTATTTGTCTCTCCACTAGCAAGGGACCTTTTATGCACAGCAGCAGGGAAGCTGTAACTCCTGTTTCCACATCTGGTTGATATGAAAAGCACTGGTGGCAACAGGGAACTGTTTGCTTGAACTAGCTGACCCCCTTGGTTTTTATCATCATAGCTACAGGGTGGTTAAATAATATTTCTGAGCAGAAACTGAGAATAGGGAAGCAAAATGAGAGATGAGGCTGCTGGCTGATCCCACTAGGAACAGTCTTGGATTGCCAGACCGGTACTTGYTTTGGCAACATCTGCCTGGGAGACTGCTGGGGCTGGCAGAATAACAGTACAGGCCTAATTGCTAACGCTAACCAGAAAACCCTGGCTTTCATCAGCACAGCCAAGCAAGCCTTTCTCAGCAGGAGATGAGGCAGGAGCAATTTCAAGGGACACAACAAGCAGGTAGTGACAAGTAGAAGTGCGGGAGCAGTGGGTGAATACTGGAGCCTGGAGGCTACATTGGAAGCTGAATAGCGTGTTTGCAAACTGAAGCAATTTGCCATTCCTACCTGCTCAGGTTTTACTCTGCAGTGGCTGCACCAGCTCCAGCTTTGCATGGGCTGCCTGCAGACAGGTCACACTGAAGCAGTTGTGGTCTGCGTCGCTTCTAAATGTGTTCCTAGGACCGCCAGAGAGAAATGAAAAATTCTCTGCCATTTCCTGTCAGGAGTCTAAATTTAGCCTGTCCAAAGAACAGAAACAAATTTGTGACCCATGCCTCTCAGGAAATGACACTCAGGGTTGAAAAATAACTTTTATATAAGGTAGAACAGGGCAAGAATGAAAAGGCTATTTAACAGTATAATGCAACTCTCCCCTTAAAATGTCAGAACGAGGCTGYGTAACACCAGTCCAGGGGATTTGTAAACGTGCCTAAACTTGACTTTACGCAACTCCAAGCTGCTTAGACTCAAAGGGAACCTAAACTGAAAAGTGGATTGAATCTTTTGTTTTTCATTTGCTTTATTTGCGTACATGTTTTCTCTTAAACTCAAACTGATCCTGAAACCCAAGCCGACACCGCGTTCCCAGGGTGTTTTGTTGAACCCAAACAGGAGCTGACCTAAGGAATTTATGGATTTGTCTCCCCAGAAAGCAAACTGTTTGGCTTAGTTTGCTTAGATGCAAGATGCTTACTTTACCCAGAGCACCTTTTAAGAGATTTGTTCTGTGCATTCAGGCTATAATGGAACCTACTCATCAGCACAGCAAGTGCTCTGTGCTAATAAGCTGTGCTCTGATAAGCTTTGGTATTTTTAAGTCATAGTGTGAGGCATATCCTTGTCCCATGTGGGAAGGTGGAGGTACACAGCATTTCTCTGAGTCAAATCTTCAACATCGTGGTTACCGTGACAGACCCTAAAGAAGGGTCATCTGCCTTACCTGGACCCCCTTCTGCCTTTGGTTAATTTGTTAACCAAATTAACTCCTATAGGCTCCTGGTTTCCACCCTCAACTGTGATTTTAATATTTTATTAAAGTTCTTTGCAAGCAGTGGAATTAGTGGTGGGTGGGTAGCGGCCACTGATCTGCAACATAGTCTGAGGAGCCATTCACCTTTAGGAAATGTCTTGGTTTAGGGTTATTATTACTATACAGGAGCTGAATGTCATCTAAGACAAGTGGTGGGGAATTCACTCTTTAGTACATGCCAGGGGCAGGATATGGCATCTTTCCCTGGGCTGTTCTGCATACAGTAGATATGGTGGGTATAAAGATGTATTTTAGTAAAGTAATCCAAAACCTTGTCCAGCATTCAAGCAGCAGCACTTGGTGATCATTCACCAGATAATTTTTAATGCAGAGTCTTTGCAGCTTTCTCTGGTGTGAGGGAATGAAAATTTACCCACCTTTTAACAGCTGGCTGCTGATCACTGAGGGGTTAGTTCTTCTCATGGGATTCTACATGGTAAATAGCCGTATTTATTACTTTTTTTAGCATTTTTTTTGAGTAACATTAGCTCAGAAGCAAGACAATAGCGTGAGGAGCTGTCTTGTCCTTGTCCACATTTGAGATGGAGAATAACATCAAAACCCTCCAAACAAACCAAGTTATTCCTTCCTTGATTCTAGAAAGAACAGAAAATTACACATTTGAAAGCTATACAGATACACAATGCTGTACTCAAACCGCTGCTCTTATAGCAGGACACTGTTACATTTGTATAGATTTTCTTATGTAGTTCTATTTATAATAAAGGTGGTCTTTACAAAATCTCAAGTGTGAATTATTGTATTACTAGTCTCCCCTCCCCCCAAAAATCCCGAGGGAACAGAAGGAGGATGTTGGGATATGGCAGACAGGATCCTAGCACAGTAAGTCCAATAGCAAGATTCCCTGTGATCAATAGACAGCATTTAAGAATTCCATAAGATAATACAATGTGCAGAGAATAAGGCCAGAGATACAGACTGAGAACATAAAACCACGGGAATTCAAAATAATTATTCTGGTATGTCTGCTCAAAAAATGCCCTTTTGTGGCAGGCCTCAAATCCTGCTGATAGGTGTTGCCCTTACTGGTTGAATGAGATCTCCTGAAATTCCAGTTCTACTAGATGAATCCTTTCTACTTGCTTGTTTTACAGGTATCCACAGCCAAATTCCAGTTAACCCCCTACTCAGCCTCTTGCTCAGCTCATTCCCTGGTGTTTTAAGGGAAATGGCACCTTCTTGTTAACATTCTGATGTGCTCTGGCAAGAAATCCAAAGGTATTTATAAATTCATACAGTAAGAAACTCTTTGTTTCCTTGGTGATCTCTCTCCCAGCCCCACAGAATGCTCTGCGCACCTTTAATTTATGACTCTGCCTTCCAGTGATCTCTGGGGATGAATCAGCATTGAACACGTCTCAGAAGTGGCTGGCTCAGACTTGGAGCACAAGTCTACCTAGCCAGAAGTTATTTTTTTTCCCAGGGTCAACCACACACTGTGGTAAATGGAAATTGGGAGTGCTGTGGCCAGGGATCAGCAGCAGTCCTAGTTGTTTTAGTGCAGCTGTATTTAAAAACAAACAAACAAACCCCACTCCTTTAAGGTCACTCTGACTAGCCCCACAGCTTGGCAAAGTTTTCTTCACGGAGCAGCTGACATCCTAGGGCAATTTTGTTTGCTGGTTTTTGTATTCTCTTAATTACTTCTCTTATTTATTTACTGCTTTTGTTGTTGAACAGAAGGGGTCCCATCAGTGCCATATCTTTTTTGGAAAGGGCAATAAGCAGATTTTGGATCCATACAACATTATTAGTATCATCTGCCATTAAGCACCCAGGCAGAGATAGAAACAGAGACCAACATCAGCTATTCTAGATTTTTTGCCTTATATCTCTAGGCTTTGAATCTAGATTCAAGGGGAGGAATCTTTCTTAAAAAATTCAAATGCTTGTGCTTTTCTTATCTCTAGGCTTTTTGTTAAAGCCCTGGTTCCAACATGTTATACGCGTCTGATGAAATCCAGCAACCTGGAGTTAATAACATAAGATTATGGATGTTTCAGTCCAGAAACACACCACCYGACAATATACTTGCAGGTGGACATAAGCTAAAGGCAACAGTAATCCTGCAGCACAAGCCTTAAGGGTGTAATTTACAGCTACAGC